AAAGTGGAGGTGCAGGGAGCAGATGGGAAGGGGGAACCAAAAATGGAATGAGGGAGAGCAGATACAAGGCAGCAGGGTACAGGGCAGGAGCAAAATCAAGATCACTGGCAAACAGAATCTGGCAGCAGCAATAATCTGGAGTGAGAGAGACACTAGAAGGGGAGAACCTAAATACTCTCCCAGTAGCTAACAACAGGTGGAAACTGATTACTGGGATTGCTGGCTGCTGAGAAACACCGGCTTATGGATACCAAAACTACAACCTTCAGTTCTGGGAAGCAGAGTGATCCAGGTGATCCAGGTCCAGACAGGGTGACTGATCCAGAAAAAGTATGTAGCAAGTGAAATCTGGGCTACTTATCTTTATACATGATCCAGGCCAGTGGCTAAAAAAGTGCTTAATCCATTGGATTAGCATGATAGGCAGGGTACTAGCATTTTCATTAATGATACTCTAGTTCTATTTCTCTCTAAGTACAGGTTTCTGTTAAATGTTTAACATAAGAGCACAGATGAAACTCCACCACAAAAAATGAAATCAATGAATAAAATAGGTAAAGAATACAAACCACTGAGTAGATGATCTATTCCACACAGTTTTCATATAAATTAGCAGTGATAGAAGATGAAGAAAGAGGTACACTTAATTGGCACCCCTCCTTTCCAAATGGTACATAACCCCTTTCCTTTTGCTCCCCTGTTGTTCCTTTTGGTGGACTTACAGTGGGGCAAAAAAGTATTTAGTCAGCCACCAATTGTGCAAGTTCTCCCACTTAAAAAGATGAGAGAGGTAACTGGATCATTAGACCTCAACTATGAGACAAAATGGAAAAAAAAAAGAATTGGCTGATTTATTTATTTGCAAATTATGGTGGAAAATAAGTATTTGGTCAATATCAAAAGTTCATCTCAATACTTTGTTATATATCCCTTGTTGGCAATGACAGAGGTCAAACGTTTCCTGTAAGTCTTCACAAGGTTGGCACACACTGTTGCTGGTATGTTGGCCCATTCCTCCATGCAGATCTCCTCTAGAGCAGTGATGTTTTGGGGCTGTCGCTGGGCAACACAGACTTTCAACTCCCTCCAAAGGTTTTCTATGGGGTTGAGATCTGGAGACTGGCTAGGCCACTCCAGGACCTTGAAATGCTTCTTACGAAGCCACTCTTTCATTGCCCGGGCGGTATGTTTGGGATCATTGTCATGTTGGAAGACCCAGCCATGTTTCATCTTCAATGCCCTTGCTAATGGAAGGAGGTTTGCACTCAAAATCTCACGATACATGGCCCCATTCATTCTGTGCTGTACATGGATAAGTCGTCCTGGTCCCTTTGTGAAGAAACAGCCCCAAAGCATGATGTTGCCACCCCCATGCTTCACAGTAGGTATGGTGTTCTTTGGATGCAACTCACCATTCTTTCTCCTCCAAACACGACGAGTTGCGTTTCTACCAAACAGTTCTATTTTGGTTTCATCTGACCATACGACATTCTCCTCCCAATCCTCTTCTGGATCATCCAAATGCTTTCTAGCAAACTTCAGACAGGCCTGGACATGTACTGGCTTAAGCAGGGGGACACGTCTGGCACTGCAGGATCTGAGTCCCTGGCGGCGTAGTGTGTTACTGACGGTAGCCTTTGTTACGTTGGTCCCAGCTCTCTGCAGGTCATTCACTAGGTCCCCCCGTGTGGTTCTGGGATTTTTGCTCACTGTTCTTGTGATCATTTTGACCCCACGGGGTGAGATCTTTTGTGGAGCCCCAGATCGAGGGAGATTATCAGTGGTCTTGTATGTCTTCCATTTTCTAATTATTGCTCCCACAGTTGATTTGTTCACACCAAGCTGCTTGCCTATTGCAGGTTTAGTCTTCCCAGCCTGGTGCAGGTCTACAATTTTGTTTCTGGTGTCCTTTGACAGCTCTTTGGTCTTCACCATAGTGGAGTTTGGAGTGTGACTGAGGTTGTGGACAGGTGTCTTTTGTACTGATAACAAGTTCAAACAGGTGCCATTGATACAGGTAATGACTGCAGGACAGAGGAGCCTCTTAAAGAAGAAGGTACAGGTCTGTGAGAGCCAGAAATCTTGCTTGTTTGTAGGTGACCAAATACTTATTTTCCACCATAATTTGCAAATAAATTCTTTCCAAATCAGCCAATGTGATTGTCTGGATTATTTTTCTCATTTTGTCTCTCATAGTTGAGGTCTACCTATGATGCCAATTAAAGGCCTCCCTCATCTTTTTAAGTGGGAGAACTTGCACAATTGGTGGCTGACTAAATGCTTTTTGGCCCACCTGTAACTGAAATGAAAAGCTTATTACTTTCCTTTAAATAAGCAAGAAGCAAAACCCTTTATTTCTGTGTGATTTTATTTTCGGATTTGTTAGAAAAAATACATTTTTAAATATTTTTGGCCCTGCAGCAATGTAAGTTTCCGGCAACATCCTTTACACTCTAGGTATTAAACTAATAATTACACACACCGTGATTCCATGTATTAAAATTTTTCATTAGCTAAGAAGAACCAGTTTTGTTATTTATGATCTTCAGTATATAGGCACTGCAGCTTCTCACAATCTAACCTGATACTTTCTAATTTAATGTTATGTTTAATCCTGATTGGTAAAGATGTAGCCTCTGGCATCCTAATCACACAGTGTGGGACAAGCCAGCTTTAAATAACATAGCATTTACAGTAGGCATCCTTCAGCTACATTTTCTGCCTAAACCCATCTTGTCCTACATTCTGTGTAATTGTGAACAATCAAGGAGGCTGCCATATTTTTGGAAAAGCTGCAACGGGCAGCCCTTTCTGTGCCTGCCCTCTGATGCCTTTGTCAGTGTCAGTGTTCAAAGGCAGGAATGAGTGGAACATGCCTCTGATAAAAGAAAACTCCTGAGATGCTCCTGTATGACTAGAAGGGTGTTTTGGTATTATTGTCACAGTTGTGGAAGTGATCTGCTTTTTCTGTTATGTAATTATATACTAAAAGTGCATTCTAATACTAACTGTTTTACTGCATTATATCGTACCAGTGAATCCCTAAACATTAGAGCTAAACATTAGACTTTAAAGTATACGCGAACCCTTATCTTGTAACACAAGCTATTAGGATTAAAATAGAAATGAAAGGAAAGACATTTATGTTGATGTAGCCAGGTGGCAGCTATGCCATCATGGATTAGATATCACCCAGGGACGATTAACCTGACATTTCCCCTAGCACATGGAGTGCTGAAGTTAATCTCATTTCCTGTCAGCAAGGTGAGAGTGACTATTCTGGATATAAGAGCAGAGAATCTTGGGGCATGTAGTCCCCATGTCACTGGACAATAGGTTATCATACCACCTCTTGAACTACACTTCACACGTGGCTGAGTCGCAGAGTAAACGTTTGGGAGAGACTATATATTTGTTATAAATAGTGGGCCCGCTCTCCTAACTTGGGTATTCCACATAGAGTGGGAGCACCGCTGTCCTGCACTTACGGGATGTCATGTCAGTGCGTCCTAGCTGGTTAGAGACAGATCTCTGGAGGAGAGAGCACACCCCACTTATCTCAGCCTGTGGGTGCGAGCAAATCAAATTTTTTCTTCAGCGGAGAAGCCACCCTCAAGTCTCATGCTGTTCACTGAACTGCTAATGATGCCCATCAGCCGCATGCTCTGCTGCCCTTCGGGCATGCCTGAGGAGTCTAGACTGACTGTCTTGTTCTTACAGAAGGTACCTTCAGTTTGAGACTGGTAAGCGAGAGGATGCCCATACACTTTATTCTGCCACAATACCAACAAGGGTCACTGCATGCAGATATCTTGTCCTAACAGCTTTAACAGAACTACCTTAACTACTACCTCTACACACTGGATATTGCAGAAACTGTGCAATAGTCACCACCACTTTGAGCCCCACTGAGCAAACGAAGATATCATCCCAGTTATCGCACTTGAACAGTTCATATACTTTGACCCAAATGACTAAAACATTCATCTTAGTAAGGTCATATTTGAGTACCTGTTCATTCGAGAAATGTTCCTTAATGTTCCAGTGGTTTGGAGGGAGCTGACCAGTTTCTAAGTCTCTCTCCCTACAGCTGAGTGCACCTACACCTATATAACTGTTTGTGTAAAAGCCATTTAGCACGGTTTATTCTGTAGTCTAACTCCCACTTTTTTTTCCACAGTATTATAGATTTTTCTTTGTGTAAACTGTTCACTTCTCCATAAATCTATTAAATACAGCAGAGTACTTTGAGAAACTTAAACTGTGTCCTTTTCCTCAACTGACAAGGTATTCGTGTTTGCATTAACAATGTCTGAAAATAAAGTGTCAAAGGGATTGAGAACCTGTAAGGTCAGGGTAACAGCCAGGGACAGATATCCATTTGTGGCCCCCAAAGGAGAAACACTATATAAAGATATAAAAAAATCATAAAGACCTTTTTTTTCAAATTTTTTTTTAATAAGTGAGCACATAATCCCTGTTCTCAAATGCATAGGGCTTTAGAGATCGAGGGCAGAGAAACAGCAGTACATTGATCCTCCCAGTGAATGGTTGTGCAGGAAGGGGGGTGCAAGTCAGCAGAAGTCTGACCATTGGAGGAAAGACCGCATGTTCTCCCAACACAGCCAGAAACCTGGCCACACTGGGATGGATGTGCTTTCATGCCCAATGTGGTCAGTTTGAAATTGAAAAGCAGGGGGACGGGGCTGACAGGAACAACAGATATTTCACCCAAAGGAAGCAATGCAAAGATAACAGGATGCATTTTAACACATGTGCATGGTACAACAGGCATATATCAGTAATATGAAATGTTGGGTTAGCATATTCTTTAAACCGCCTCCCGACTGCCATATAAGGAAATGACGGGCACAAGACGGTTCTCTCGTTCTGGGAGGACGTCATATGACGTCCTCCCACTCTAACGGTGATCGGTGATGCGTTGTGTCCCTGGGACACAGAGGATCACCAATCAACGGAAAGAGCTGAAAACGTCCACTCTGTCAGGTGATCAGCTGTGTCCAATCACAGCTGATCACATGTAAATAAGGAAATGCCGGTTATCAGCAGAGAGAAGAGGAGAGCCGGTAATCCACAATACTCAGAGAGGAGATGTACACTGATCACCAGGGCACTGATGATCAGTGTGCCCTGATGATCAGTGTAGCCCCATCAGTGCCACCTGTCAGTGTCCATCAATGTCACCTGTCAGTGCCCATCAATGCTATCTGCCAGTGGCCATCAGTGCCACATCAATGCCACATATCAGTGCCCATCTGAGCTGCCTTTCAGTGCCACCTATCAATACCAGTCAATGCCACCTATCAATGCCAGTCAGTGCTGCCTATCAGTGCTGCCAATCAGTGCCACCTATCAATGTCAGTCAGTGCTGCCTATCAGTGCCAGTCAGTGCCACCTATCATTGCGCATCAGTGCCGCCTTTCAGTGCCTGTCAGTGCTGCCTATCAGTGCCACCTAACAGTGCCTGTCAGTGCCACCTAACAGTGCCAGTCAGTGCAGCCTATCAGTGCCCATCAGTGCAGCCTCATTAGCGCTCATCAGTGAAGGAGAAAAATCACTTATTTACAAAATTTTATAACAGAAACTAAGCAAAAACTTTTTTTTTTTTAATTTTCAGTTGTTTTTGGTTTGTTTAGCAAAAAAAAAAAAAACCAGAGGTGATTAAATACCACCAAAAGAAAGTGCTATCTGTCTCAAAAAAATTATAAACATTTCATATGGGTACAGTGTTGCATGACCACGCAATTGTCAGTCGAAGTGTGACAGCGCTGAAAGCTGAAAATTGGCCTGGGCAGGAAGGGAGTATAAGTGCCCTGTAGGCTAGTGGTTAAGTATAGGTCTGCTTAAGAAAGCACAAAAGTATTTTACATAAATCAGGGTTTTGGCTCAAAAGAAAAATAACACATTATCTTGTTTATTAAATATAAAAAGAAGCCAAGAAACTTTGAAACTAACCTCTTACCTCTGCTTTTTCATTCTCTGTGCATATACTAATATAAACAATGCATATTTTATATTCAGCTTTTTTTCCATTGGTGCTAAAACTCTAGACAAGCACAGAGAACAGGAAAGGCATCTGATCCACATATTAAACCAAAGAAACTCTCATGTGTTGCCACAATCCCATGTGCCAACTAACTAAATTTAAATGAGAGATGCTGCAAACAGCAAAAATGTGTTTCCTCATTAAATTTTAAATACAAATGATACCTAAAGAAGTCACAAGAGCAAGAGGCGTAACGTGATAGTCAAAAATGGGTGACATCACTTCTAGTCCGGAAGCAAGAAGTTGGCTTCTATTTGTTTTTTGTAATGCCTAGATAGAGTTTAGGGCACTGTTAGCTTTGTAAGTGTGATTGTATGTGCATTTAGTGGCTTATAAAAACTATTATACTATTGGGAGATTTTTTTCTTCCCTTTTTTTGAGTACCAATTTTAGCTACTGGCAGTGAGATGCTTAAATTTTAAAGGAAACTGCATTTTTTTCTACTTTGGGCACAGAATTCCAGGACCAGTAGAGGGAAGACCATACGCACTACAAAAAAGTGCATTAAAAACCTATATGTTTATATACGTGGGATTTGGAGGTGAGCAAGCATTTTGGATGGCGGTGGAGCACTTTATTGGAACAGTGGATCACGGACAATTGCCACGCATGATTGTGACACTAGCACCATAATATCTGCATATCAAGTCATTCAGCAATGTTTTCAATATCGGTTGTTGGATCACAAACATTTGGGATTATTATTATTAATGTTTGTATTCTTACAGATTTATTTTGAGTTTTTAAATACTTGCACATGTGATTATCATACATGAAAGTGTGGTATATTCTATTTTTTTTTTCATTATTTATGGCATAGTTTATTATTTTGTATTTTTGCAGGTAGCATTGTGATGAACACTGAGATGAATAAAAGTATCTGAGCAGTGCGGCACAATTTATTTGTTCCATCTGATCCACATGCTTATTTGAATAGGTTTGGTTTATGAAACGCGAATAAGCTGTTTACATAGCAGGGGAATTTTCACTTAGTTTACTGAATGTGGCAAAAAAATTATTTTGCAAGGAAGAACCAGCTATTCAAGTGCAGCCCCACCCCATGACAAGACAAAATGCGTTGTCTTCCTATCTGCCCAGTTCACAACACCATGTTGTGGTGGTGTGTGTGGGTGGTGTGCTCTGAAAAAAAGTGCTGCATGCCGTACTTTTTTCATGCAATGAAGTGAAAGACAATCCATTGCCTCACACCACATGGTCAGCAATTGAACTTTATTAAATGTCAGTGTGATATCTCAATAAAAAAAAAAAAAAAGGAAACCATCACTGCGCTGATCTTGCACACTAGCCACTGCATTGCAATGTAGAGGTTGGTGTGAATGAACCATTACTGTAGCCAACATTATACAGCAGCTTCCTGCCAATAGCAGTTTGTGATCTTTAGGGATTGTGTGAGTGCAATGCAGAACAGAAATCAGCATTCTTATGGTGGCAAAAAGAAATTGAACAACCAAAACCTTTACTGATTGCACATCAGTTACCTATCAATCATAGTGACATTTACAGTTTAAACTCCAACTTTACTGTCACTCCAAGTGTTATACTATCACTGGCTTTAGCTCAGTCAATATTCAAGCTTTGGCATGCTAAAAGATTTTTGAGGATCAGCAGTGCCAGTTTTTGAAATGTATTGCACTCATTATTGCAAAAAAGAATGTACAAGTGTAGGCACAATCTGACAATACACAAACTTTTATTTGTAAGTATAAACAACATGTTTCATCTTGTGTTGGCTTCCTCGGGTTACACGAAGCTCGGTTTTCATGTGTTCAAATGTTTTTTGTTCTTTCTATCTGTAAATTGTCATAAACAAAAGCTGCCTGAAAAATATGCCATTAGCCGTAGCACTATGTCATTCTTGGGGTTATTAGCTATAAAAGTTGAAAAGAAAATGAAAGCAATTGAATCTTTTATTTAAACTTTTTTTTACAAGATAATAGGATGACAGACTGAGAAATGCAAGCTGTTTGTGTGTCTCACATTCAGACTAACACTGGAATGGCGCCACTTATTGGAAGCGAGCTCTACACATATAGCTATTGATTTTCTGTTCAGATCAAGGCAATGGTAATTTTTCTTCATTGGTATCACATTTTAAATACTACAGTGACTGACTACTGTTACTCAGGGTTGAGGCAACCTAATAGCACAACGCTATTTTTGTAGTCAAACCCTACTGAGAAATTCAAAAATGAAAAAAAACATGATTCCCATGACATGAAATTTATTCTTGCAGCATCCAATTTTGTAAGTGTTTGTATACATTTCAACTCTAGCAGAATGTTGTTCAATGTTAGCCATCAATCAATGCAGAAGGTTCATAGTTACTCTTTATCAGTTAACAATTCATTAAAGATGAAGCTTTCAAAACATCTTAGATGTCCTTATCATAAATGAATGCCTCATTAAGAAAGCTAATCTGTTTGAAAGCTTTCAATTGTAATAACTTAAAGCAGAATTCAGGGAAAAAAAAGTTTTTTTTTATCATGCAGTGGGACTATGCCTGCACTGCATGGGCTAAATATTTGTTTTTGTCTAGGGGTGATAAGAATGAAGATATACTTATCAAATCTGCCGATCCTCTGAGTGCAAGACCGGTTCCTACCACTTCTGCCCCCCCTGCACACTAGCAGCCTTGCGAATAAACTGTTTCTGACGTCATCAAGCCCATAGACCGACTCTGGGCATGAGGACTGCAGGAACAGTCCACTGTAGGATGTGGGGGATCACGGTTTTCCAGAGGATCAGAGGACAGTGTAAGTATAGCTTTTCTCCAAACCCCTGGCCAAAACTAGCAGTTAACCCAATTCTGTGCACACAGGGCATGGGAAAATAAACATTTTTCATGGAGTTCTGCTTTAAGATAGTCAATAAGAGGCAACCCCTTCTAATAAACAGTGGTCTTCAAACATTTTTGTAAAGCTAAAGAGATAGCTAGGTGTTCCAGTAGCCTCTATGTACTGCATACATATACTAAGAAGTGTCATTGTTTCTGCATAAAGTTCCTTTTATATATCACCAAATTTACCAAAATAGACATATTAAAATGTATGAATTATATTTTGTTAAAGGCAGAAAATACTAACAGAGACAAAAAATTTAGCCAATTTACCATTCCCCAAAAAAAAGCTGCTCCCAGGGCCTGCTCTACCAAGCTCAGGAGCATTGTCTTCGCTTTGCATAGGTATGAAAATCCCATGGTTTCCCTGTATCTCAATCAAAATTATTGGAGGAGACAGGAAGTCTACACTCCTAGATTCCCAACAGCTTTTGTGAAATTTTAAGCAGTCTAAAAGACAACTTTATCAGTTTGCTATTGAAAAATTGCCATAGTTGGTGCAATGTCTGCAAGTGTACAAAAAGTGCTTGGTCACATGTCCATAGTCTCTAACTTTAATCCTTAAACTGAATCTTAGAGGTTTATTTAAAAAAAATACAGTGTAAATGTCTCAGCATTCAAGAAAAACGTGGAAATAATACCCTTAATGTTTGTAATGTGTGTGCTTGACTTGTCTTTTCCAAGGTGAATGTAACAACCTTAAGAACATTTGTTCAGAAGAGTTGAAGAACATTCCACCAATAGAGAAAATAGCACAACACTATAGTCTAAGAACATTTGAACGGAAGAGCAAATAATGTGAGGGAGCCCTCTGCACTGTAAATTATTGATTGTATTAGAAAAAAGGCAGAGCTATTCAACCTGTGAAACATATACATTCAATTAGAGGGAACAGACACATCATCAAATGTTATTATAATATTTTTCTCTCCAGTTTGAATGTTTTTTTTCATTTATAAGAATAGAGCAAATCATGAAAATACTACATTATGGCCACTAGATGGAGCCAACAATTATAGTAAATAAGTATTTATACTGTAATGCAGGGGTCTCCAAACTGCGGCCCATGGGCCGAATGTGGGTCCTTTGCTTTCCTTTTTCCAGCCCTTGGGGCACTATTCCTCCCATTAACACCAACAAGGAGGCACCATTTCTTCCAATTACATCAACATTGGGGAAGCATATCTTTCACTGACACCAATAATGGGGCATTTTTCCTTCCACTGATATAAACAATTAGGCCCTATTACCCCCAGTGATAATGATGGGGCACTATTCCTCCCAATGATACCAATCATGGGGCACTATTCCTCCAACTAATATCAATAATGGGACACTATTCCTCCAATTAATATCAATCATGGAGCAATATTCCTTCTCCAAGCTCAAGACATTGTTTACTCCCACTGATAATGGGGTACTTTTTTATTCCCACTGGTCACTCTGGCGCCCTG